TTACATTTAATTGTTCATTTTCTTTTATAGTTATCCTAGTGAGTTTAGCTATTGCAGAAGGAATGTTATTGTTAACCATTTGGGTCATGTGAGTTTATAGTGTTGTGACACTAAAAATAGTGTCATTAATTTGAGATGATCAACCTGGGGAAATTTGTTAATAAATAAATTAGCAGTGATGACAAATTTTATACACTGCTGTCATCACTTAAAATTAAATTAATTATTAATTTGTTTATCAAATTAATATTTGATTAAACATAAATAGATTCAAATAATTTTTGCTACCAATAAAAGATCTGCAAGTTTGTGTTTTTAACACTTAATAAGTCACTAAAGCTCCTCATGAGCTGGCTTGCAAGCCAAAAAACTTATTCAGCTTGCGAGCTGGCTTTTGAGCCTACTAAGTTATTTGGCTTGTGAGCTGGCTCATACAGAGCCTTATAAGTCACTAATAGAGTTATTAAGTACTTAATAACTTGGACATTTTTCAAAATAATTTTTACACCCATCACTAGCCATAAGATAAAAGTAATAGTGGCCACACCAGGAAATTTTCCCCACCATAATATTATGTCTATAAATTTTAATATCTGAGGTTGTAATATTTGCATAAAAAATTATGTAATATTTACACTCAATGTAATAATTGCATAATATTACAGGGCCCACAGTAAACTTATGTAAATAGTGTAATAATCACATAAATCTGCATTGGAAAAAATTTCCTGATGCATAAGTCAGTGAGTAGGCTGTGTGTTGAACATAAAATAACCTATTAAATATGGAACTTGGATTGCATGCTTGCAGTAATACCAATGTTCACTTTGTTTGATTTTGTTGCAGCATGCCCATATACATCAGGAAATTTTTTCTGATGTGGATATACATGCAGCCCAAATTGGTTTGGTAATTTTGATGGTAGAAAGTAGAAATTAATTACAGCATTCACTATTAAAAACATAAGTGTAATGCCCCTTACTACGTGTGTAGCCCCTTTATGACAGTGTCAAAATACTTTGGGCTGCATGTATAGACGTGGATTTATGTAATTATTACACTATTTACATAAGTTTACTGTGGGGCCCATTGAGTGTAAATATTACATAATTTTTTATGCAAATGTTACAACTTTACATATTAAAATTTATGGATGTAATATTATGGCAGGGAAAATTTTCTGATGTATATTTATTGTTTTATGAATTAGTAGGAATTTTTATATTCAATGGGTAAAGTGAATAATTTAGTTATAATCATAGAGCATACATAATATTAATCAATTATTTTTATTAAATGAGATATCAATGATATTAATGAATGGTAGGTAAAGGAAAAAATTATTAAATTTGTATATCATATTAAAATCATTTATCAGGTTAATATGCTATATATTATGAATTCTTGTATTGCTTAATCTTGTAATTTGGAAGTTATTCGACCAATTGATAAAGCACCTGCCATGTTTTTCTTGTTTTTATTTTTCCTTTATTTTTTATTCAATGAAAAGATCTGTACAGAATTTAGCCAATCAGAATTTCTTCTAGAATTTTCATGATTGATTTAGTATTTCTATCTATGGTAATACCCCTGATTGAACTATATCCAGGGCTGGAAAATTTTTTGGGTGCTAAAATTTTTTCAAATTTAAGAATTTCTTTATTTTATTCTTCTGTTTTTTTTTACTAAAAGCATCATTAAAACCATAACCAAATAAATCAGTACCTTCTAAATCAACCATAGTTAATATGTGCAATGTGTCATTTTCCATTGCATTATGTTAGATAACATTCTGTTTGCTAAAACCTCTTTCACAATCTACACTAGAAAATGGAATTGAGTGCACTATTTCCATAAGTTTTAAGATATAAATAAGACTTGGAAGTTTGGAAATTGGAATATTTTCTTTTGCCATCCAGTAAATATTAATTATATGTTTGTTACCATTATTAATGGCTTTTTTGGAAGAATCATGCATGGTTATACTTGCCTTCTCTAAAAGCAAAAAATCTTTATGTTGGTTTGAAAGTGCATGAGCTGCTAGAGCAGTAGATTTTGAAACATTCTTTGATCCTAAATAATAACATTATAATATTAGTAAATTTATAATTACAAAATGCAAAATTATTTATCACCTTTTTCTGCAAATTGATTTTTTTCCCCTATATACTTTACAAATTGTGTAAAACATTCTCTTCATTGCTGCATCATATTTAACAATTTATATATGTTAGCCATTCATGCTGAAAACTTTTTCCTGGTTTTTAAAATACATTTTTTTATTTGACATTTTAATATGGTTTACACTTAATTCACTAATTTTTCTTTTTTTATTTGATTTTTTTGAAGTATCATCATCATCTGAACCTTCTATATCTGATTCATCAATATTTGTTTCATCTATAAATGCTTCAGTAGTCAATTTATCTAATTCTTCTTGGATAAGGGAAAACAAATATACATAAAAGTGTATATATTTTAATAATTTAATAACAGTGAAATAAGACTTAAATTGAGTCAATACTTTTCTTCTGAAAATTCAAAGATACAAATTATGGTTCTTTTCTAAAATATTGAAGTAATGGCACACATATACTGTATGTATATATATTTAGTATAAATTTTTTTTTATGCGGACGAAAAAATCTGTACAAAAAAAAAAATAAAAATAAAAAGGAAAAACATCCGGCAACTCTTTTTTTTTCCGAAAGTTAAAATTTTTTAAAGGAAAATCCGGATTTTTAAAGTACTATTTCCAGCCCTGACTCATCACTTTTCAAAAAAAAATTACCCTAGTTAATACTATTATTATTAATATATATATATTAGATTTCCCTTTCTTGAAAGGGTTAACCAGTGTTTTTAAATTTGGTTGAACGGCTTTGATCAAAAAATGGATAAAATACCTGAACATAGAAAAAATGCTTTTAAGTCAAAGGCCATTTTTAAAGCTGAAGAGTTACGTAGACGTCGTGAAGAGCAACAGATTGAAATTCGGCGTAAAACTCGCGAAGAATCTTTAGCAAAACGTCGTAATTTAAACGTAGCTTTGTCCCCAGATTCCGATGATGAGACTGCTGTTGCTGTCATCAATGCTCAGGTAAAATTTACTTCTCTATTATTCTATTATTTTTATTTTTATTTTTTATTTTAATTTAGTATTCATCTTTATGGATTTTATTTTGTTGTAAGAATTTTCATTAATATTATTATACAAAGATTTAGCTTTCTTTTTTTTCATAATTTATAATTTTCTCTTCAATTGTGCACATAACATTTTATTATTTATGTTTGCATATATATATATATATATATATATACAATAATCTATTCATTAAATATTTTCCTTCTATTATGTATGGTTTAGCTTCAAGAACAATTACCTGAAATGATTCGTGGTGTGTTTTCTGATAATGTTGAAGAACAATTGCAAGCAACTACCAAATTCAGAAAATTGCTTTCTAAAGAAAGAAATCCTCCAATTGAACAAGTTATTGAATGTGGTGTGGTCTCTCGTTTTGTTGATTTTTTAAGATCTCCTCATTCTCTTGTACAAGTAAGTATTTTACATGATGCGTTTTTAGAAAAGGTATATTTGTTAACGTCAAAGTTGAAACTTAATAACTTTTTTTTTTTTTATTTTTAACAACATAATCTTGTTGTGATCAGAGCTGGAAATAGGGTTTGAAAAAAAAACGGAAATTTCTCCTGAATGCTAAAAATTTTTCGAAAGACAAATTTAAAAAAAGGAAAATTTTTGGATGCTAAAATTTTTTCATATTTAAGAATTTTCTTTAATTTATTCTGTTTTTTTTACTAAGAGCATCATTAAAACCATAACCAAACAAATCAATACCTTCTAAACCAACCATCATTAATAAGTGCAATGTGCCATTTTCCATTGCATTACATTTGATAATATTCTGTTTGCTAAAACCTCTTTTACAATCTATACTAGAAAATGGAATTGAGTGCACTATTTCTATAAATTCTAAGACTTGGAAATTTGGAAATTGGAATATTTTCTTTTGCCATCCAGTAAATATTAATTATATGTTTGTTACCATTATTAATGGCTTTTTTGGAAGAATCATGCATGGTTATACTTGCCTTCTCTAAAAGCAAAAAATCTTTATGTTGGTTTGAAAGTGCATGAGCTGCTAGAGCAGTAGATTTTGAAACATTCTTTGATCCTAAATAATAACATTATAATATTAGTAAATTTATAATTACAAAATGCAAAATTATTTATCACCTTTTTCTGCAAATTGATTTTTTTCCCCTATATACTTTACAAATTGTGTAAAACATTCTCTTCATTGCTGCATCATATTTAACAATTTATATATGTTAGCCATTCATGCTGAAAACTTTTTCCTGGTTTTTAAAATACATTTTTTTATTTGACATTTTAATATGGTTTACACTTAATTCACTAATTTTTCTTTTTTTATTTGATTTTTTTGAAGTATCATCATCATCTGAACCTTCTATATCTGATTCATCAATATTTGTTTCATCTATAAATGCTTCAGTAGTCAATTTATCTAATTCTTCTTGGATAAGGGAAAACAAATATACATAAAAGTGTATATATTTTAATAATTTAATAACAGTGAAATAAGACTTAAATTGAGTCAATACTTTTCTTCTGAAAATTCAAAGATACAAATTATGGTTCTTTTCTAAAATATTGAAGTAATGGCACACATATACTGTATGTATATATATTTAGTATAAATTTTTTTTTATGCGGACGAAAAAATCTGTACAAAAAAAAAAATAAAAATAAAAAGGAAAAACATCCGGCAACTCTTTTTTTTTCCGAAAGTTAAAATTTTTTAAAGGAAAATCCGGATTTTTAAAGTACTATTTCCAGCCCTGACTCATCACTTTTCAAAAAAAAATTACCCTAGTTAATACTATTATTATTAATATATATATATTAGATTTCCCTTTCTTGAAAGGGTTAACCAGTGTTTTTAAATTTGGTTGAACGGCTTTGATCAAAAAATGGATAAAATACCTGAACATAGAAAAAATGCTTTTAAGTCAAAGGCCATTTTTAAAGCTGAAGAGTTACGTAGACGTCGTGAAGAGCAACAGATTGAAATTCGGCGTAAAACTCGCGAAGAATCTTTAGCAAAACGTCGTAATTTAAACGTAGCTTTGTCCCCAGATTCCGATGATGAGACTGCTGTTGCTGTCATCAATGCTCAGGTAAAATTTACTTCTCTATTATTCTATTATTTTTATTTTTATTTTTTATTTTAATTTAGTATTCATCTTTATGGATTTTATTTTGTTGTAAGAATTTTCATTAATATTATTATACAAAGATTTAGCTTTCTTTTTTTTCATAATTTATAATTTTCTCTTCAATTGTGCACATAACATTTTATTATTTATGTTTGCATATATATATATATATATATATATACAATAATCTATTCATTAAATATTTTCCTTCTATTATGTATGGTTTAGCTTCAAGAACAATTACCTGAAATGATTCGTGGTGTGTTTTCTGATAATGTTGAAGAACAATTGCAAGCAACTACCAAATTCAGAAAATTGCTTTCTAAAGAAAGAAATCCTCCAATTGAACAAGTTATTGAATGTGGTGTGGTCTCTCGTTTTGTTGATTTTTTAAGATCTCCTCATTCTCTTGTACAAGTAAGTATTTTACATGATGCGTTTTTAGAAAAGGTATATTTGTTAACGTCATGCATTATAATAATAATAATATCTATTTAGTTTGAAGCTGCATGGGCTTTGACAAATATTGCATCGGGGTCTTCTCAACAAACTCAAGTGGTTATTGATGCTGGAGCTGTACCAATCTTTGTTGAATTATTGGGCAGTACTGTCGCTGATGTTAAAGAACAAGTTAATATTTGGTTTATTTTATTTATTTAATTTAATTTTTCATATATTAATTAAATTTACACATTTATATATATATATATATTAGGCTGTTTGGGCTTTAGGCAATATTGCAGGTGATAGTCCACCTTGTCGTGATTTTGTCTTGAAAGCAGGTGCTCTTCGACCTTTAATCTCTATATTGAACGAAAATAATAAATTATCGATGTTGAGAAATGCAACTTGGACCTTGTCTAACTTCTGTCGAGGAAAAAATCCTCAGCCTGACTGGAATTTGGTATGATTGATTGATCAGTTAATTAAATTAATTATAATTAAAAAAAAAACTGATCATTTATTATCATTTATTTATTTTTCTATTTTTTTTTCATTTTAGATTGTTCCTGCATTACCAGTTCTTGCTAAACTTATTTATTCTATTGATGATGAAGTTCTTATCGATGCTTGTTGGGCAATATCATATTTGTCTGATGGTAGTAATGAAAAAATTCAAGCTGTCATTGAATCTGGTGTCTGTCGTAGACTTGTTGAACTTTTGATGTAAGTAATACCACTGCACTGCAATTACTGTCATATATATTTATTAGTATATTATTAATATAATCATCACCATTACGCATATTGCAAATAACTAAATGACTTTTTATAAAATTTATTTTTTTTTAGGCATTCTTCTACATCTGTTCAAACACCTGCTTTACGTTCAGTCGGAAATATTGTTACAGGAGATGATGCTCAAACTCAAGTAATCATTAATTGTGGTGCATTGCCTGCTTTGTTAAGTTTATTGTCCAGTCCAAAAGATGGACTTCGTAAAGAAGCTTGTTGGACCATTTCAAATATCACAGCTGGAAATTGTGCACAAATACAAGCAGTTATAGATGCAAACATCATACCACCAATCATCCATATATTGGAACATGCAGATTTCAAGACTCGCAAGGAAGCATGTTGGGCAATTTCTAACGCAACTTCAGGAGGATTAAACAAGCCTGATCAAATAAAGTATCTTGTTAGTCAAGGATGTATCAAACCTCTTTGTGATCTATTAACTTGTATGGATAATAAAATTATTCAGGTTGCTCTTGATGGCCTTGAAAATATTCTTAAAGTTGGTGAATTGGAAAAGGCTGATGGTCTCAATCAATTTGCACTATTTATTGAAGAAGCAGGCGGCATGGAAAAAATCCATAATTTGCAAATTCACGACAACATTGAAATCTATAAAAAAGCGTATCATATTATTGATAAATACTTCGCTGAGGAAGATGAAGAGGATGCAAATTTGGCTCCAGAAATGGATATGAATACAGGTCAATTTGTCTTTCAATCGGATTTAAATTTACCTCAAGGAGGTTTCAACTTTGGTAATTAACCAATGTAAAAGCAACAATCTATAAATAAATGATACAATCAGTTAGTTGAATAGTTAGTTATTAGAACAATTTATTCAAAAAAAAGTCTTGTTTTTCAACTTTTTTTTTTAAATTCAAATTTAAATTATTATTATTATTACTATTATTATTATTATTATCATTATTATTGTTATTTTGCATTTCCCTTTTAACACATTTACCCCTTTTCTTTATTCAAACCTTTTTATTCCCACCTTTTTTTTAACCCTTTCATATTCACATTCACACATTTTTTTTAAAAAAACCCTTTCATATCTTTGATTATAAAAATATAATATATACAAAATAAATAATCCCGCCCTTTTTTTTTTCAACCCTTTCATATTCACATTCATACACTTTTTTAAAAACCCTTTCATATTTTTGATTATAAAATATATTATATACAGAAATAAATAAATAATTTTATTTTTTCCCCTTTTACATATCTATACAGCGCGATGCATATCATATATATGATTATATATTTTTGAAACTCTATGAACCCATTCATTTGTGATATTTATAAATTATTACCAGTTGCTGGAAATTTACAGTCAAGGAAAATTTATTAATAAATATATATATATATAGTGCAATAAAATACATGATACAAATAATTTTTTTAGTTTTTACGAGGACTTTCCTATTAGGAAAATATGATAATACATTACATTAAGTTAAAATAATTAAATATTTATTAATACATTGCATTCTAAATTAATTCTTTCTATAATTGTTATAAGCGTTGGAATATTTTCTATGATTGCCATCGCCCCTTCCAAAAGAGAAGTAGGCATCTTGAGATAAATGTTTAGAATCTTGATTTTGATATTTAGCATTGTGATTATATTTATCTTCTTTAAAATGTTGCTGTTTTTCTATGAATTCTTTGGGTAGATTATTTCCATTATTATCATCATATACAGAGTCATAATGATGTGATACTATTGCAGAATATGATGAATTACGGATTTTACTTGACTTCGATAACGCAGATGGTTGCCTGGATTGTGAATCGCATGAATCATGACCTTTTCCGAATTCTAGAGCATTAGAATGTTTGAAATCTATTGAATCTGGTCTTTGTTTTAATTGATCAAAGTTACTTTGTTGATTTCTTTGTCTGGGATTAAATCTCCTATTATTGTTGTTGTTGTTGTTGTTGTTGTTAATATCATTATTATAACAGTTTTCAACTATATTCATATTATTCATACGATTTGTCCAGCCATCAGAACTTTGTGGTTCATCATCGAATACTTGAAACTCATTCATTGGATAATGGCTCATACGACTTTTTTCCTTTACTTTATTTTTTGGCATATAATTTGACTTTTGACTATCCGTAGTAATACCTTGGTCACTTTGCCTCCATGAATCTAGAAGGTTTACCATGTCTTGCTCCCACTTTTGTTTACGGTGAACTTTCATATCAGAATTTGCGGTTTTTATTTGTTGATTATCATGTATCTTTCTAGAATGATTATAACCATAACTGTTTCCGGGTATTACAATATTATTTACATATATTGGTTTTTTGCAAGGTGAAGAATATGTTATTTTCTCAGGTGATGATGCGAATGATGGTTTATTATTATTATGATTATTATTGTTGTTGTTGTTATTATTATTATTATTATTATTATGGTTAAAAGGAACTTCATCAACAAGTGGAGATATATAATTTGATTTGCTATTCTTATTATCATCATCTTTACTACCATTCCACGATTGGCCTTTGTTCCAAGCTTTTTCAAGCTCAGCAGCTTGTTGATCCCATAGAGTAACAGGATTTCTTGGAGCAAACCAACTATTTATAACTGGCTTTTTAATATTTGTAATTTTTTTGTTTCGATTATCATTATGACTTTTATCAAGATAATAATCTTTACAATTGGTGTTATTGTAAATGTTGCTACGCTGAACATTATGATCAACTTGTTCTAGATCTTTGGATGGCAAAGAATATGTTCTTGAACGTGAAGATGATGACACGTCATTCCTGAATGGAGTATTAAATGAATTTGAATGTTGAGCAACTAATTCAGCTTCACAACCAGATCCTGTGGATTCACTAAATCATAATATATTATGTATAGCAAATAAACGATATTTTTAAGTGTTTTTTTTTTATAACAAATAAAATGAAAAGAGAGATACATACATCAACAATTTCCTTAAATAATCATAATCCGGCTTTTCATTGTATCTTAATCTTCTACAATATTCAAGATACTTCAAAAATCCCATTGGGCATCCCTTGCACAATTCAACAAGAGAAGTGTCACTTTTGATTGTTTTCATTCTTGCCCACCTATCTTGAGAACGAAGGACTCTAGTCCCTGACCAGGGAAGAGATCCACTTAACATCTCTAAAAAAATGTATCCCAATGATTCCATGTCGTCACGCCTAGTATGGTCTATTAAAAAATAAATAATTTAATAATTTAATAATTCTTCATAGTCGTTTTGTTATTATTATTTCATTGTAGCAGTCATCAGGAAATTTTTTGGGTGCAAGCCTGCCATAAAACTTACAATTTTTATTATTGTGTAATAAATATTGTGCCAGGCCCCATAATATTAAACAATATCGTATAGATAGAACTTAACTGTGTAATATCACCTCAGAAAATTTTCCTGATGGCATTAATAAAAGACTTTAATAATATTGATTCTATTGATAAATAACTTACGATATCCCTTGTGGACATTAATACTGGTGTAACGGGCGGTACCAGTCTTGTTTTTTATCATTTTTTTGTTTATTTGTATATGCTTGCCCGTATTTTGATCAATATAATATGCCGCCAGTCCAAAATCGACCAGAAAAGTTTTATACTTTCTTGCAACCAACATTTGAAACCTTTTGGAATCATCAATCGATTCAAACTCATCAAGTTCTAGTAGCTGGTCTAAAGATATTGGGAAATTGCTTTCAAGTAGGAAGTTGTCTGGCTTTATGTCACGATAAACAATTCCCTTACTGTGTACATACTCTATGGTCGTCACCTATATATATTTATATATATTCAAATATAATAATAAATTAATAATAAATTTTTTAATTGTCATCTTTTAATTTCAGTAAAATCAATCATTTGGATCAATATAATATATATATATATTTATTTATATTTATATTTTTATGTCTTATACATACCATTTGGAGTGCGACATGACTTACAAAGTCCACGGGAAAAGTATAAAATACCTTTGACAACATGTGTAAGCTTGGCCCTAACATGTCGATAATAATGCAATTCCAGCCTGATTTCTCACCATACCAATAAACTTTAGGGATATGATCTTTTTGATAAATGTATAATTAGCATACAATTAAAATTAAATTAAATAATAATTAGTATAATATGAAAAGTAATTCGTGACTTAACGATATTCTATAGGAATTATTAAAAGAAATTTACCATGTCCCTCTAATAATTTTAAGAACTTGTACTCATCTGGTAGTTGAGGACTGTAAACAGTTGATTCTTCTCTCTTGAGAGCATACGAATTTTTCGTTATAATGTGTTTAGCTATTAACATTAATAAGGAGAGAGAATCATTTTATAGCACACAATCAATTGCAATCAATAGATGACAATAGTGAAAAAATAAATAAAGGAATAAATAATACTTCGAAAGATCTGGCCAAAGGCACCCTCACCAATTTTGTCTTCAACCAGCCAATATTCACCAACTATTATGTCATTAGTCATCCTCAGTTATAAATTAGTAACATAAGAATATATCAAAGGCAGTAGTAAATGGCAGGTTGTTCAAATTAAAAACCTTTGAGAGTAAGGTCTTTGAATTATTGGTAATAAATAACAATCTTAATAATTATTATTGTAAATTGAATTAAGAATTTGAAATTTTTCTTTTTTTTTTTATTAAAAAATTAAAAATGTAAATGCCTCTCATGAGAAACTCTTTTTAAAAAGAAAAAATAAATATATTTTTATTAATGAAAAGTCTAAAAAAAGGTTGATTTGGGCATGGTATCAATCATGCGATTAAAGGAATATTATCTTCAATGGATTGATTCTTTATTTACTATATGCTGGATTTTAGAAGAAATAGAACTTGTCAATGATCTAGTACATATATGGCATAATGCAACAAAACCAGATAAAATGAACATTATACTATTAAACAAAAGCTTGTTTATGTTAGAGGTAGATTGATAGCAATTCATCAGTTGATACAAGAAGGTTTAAAACCGTCTGTATTGGTGTTCAATCAATTGAATGTGCCAAAGAACTATTTCATAAGATAGTGTATAATGGTATTAATGTTGATGTAATACGTTTCAAAAGAACAAAAGTTCAAGTATGAGGATTTCATTATATGCATTTATGTTTTTTTTTTATTCAAAATAATTATTTTTAAAGAAAAAAAAAAGAGATTCAATGAAAAAATCGAGTATTTTAATATTTTTTTTTGATTAAAAATTCAACCAATAAAATTTGTTACTATTTTTAGATTTTTTTTTGTGCACAAAAATTTTTTCAAAAAAAAAATTTCATTAGTTAACACTATACATGGGATTAGTGTGAATTCATTGTTAGAGATAGATTATTATTATTAAAAAAATAATTTGAAGACTATTATTACAAGGACAAGGACAAGTTTGAGGGCAGTGTTATTTATTAAATTATTATTATGATGATTTATGATGATGATTTATGATAATGAAGATGATACATGAAGTTGAGAAAGTTACAATGTTATTTATATATGTTAAAGGTTCTATCATCTAGTTCTCCAATTTCTTTGAAATCTTAATTTATCCTAATTAAATGTATTACTTGACCTTCTATTATTTTCAAATTATTTCTAAAGTGATTATTAAATCATTTAAATTCCTTTGATTAAGTTTAACCTGAGAATTAAAGGTCTGTTTTATCAAAATTAATTTGGGTTTGACTCAATTCCTAAAATCTCAATTTTTAATTGCATCTGACTCAATTAT